AGAAGCCACAGCAAAGTTGCCAGATAGTTTCTTACCTTCAGTGTAGCCATTTTCCTTCTGCTGTAGGCCTGGTGACTTCAGGAAACCCAAGCCCAGATGCTTCTGTTTCTTCTGCAGACCACTCTCCGAATGTTCTTATGCCCACCACTTCACGGCACTCGATGGTCAGCGGGTGGCACAAACTAGCCCCAGGATTGCCTAACTGATCAAGCCAGGGGAAAGTCCAGCACCCTTATTTTCAACTGATTGCTTACACAATTGCCTTTGTTTACTGACCCCAGGCTGTTTCTGGAAGAGTCTTCAGAGGCCTGTCTCTTCACCTGAGGTAGAGATTGGCTAATTATTTGTTCCAGTTAAAAGAAGGCTTATTACTAAAGGCAGGGAATTTTTTTAAAACCCTCACCTGGGGATATGCTTTAATTTAAAAAAAATTTTTTTTTTTAGATTGGCCCATTTCAAAGGCTTTGACTTTTTAAAAAAAATTAATTTGAGAAGGAAGCATTGATGTGAGAGTGAAATGTTGATCGGCTGCCTCCTGTGCTCACCCTGACCGGGAATCAAATCTGCAACCTGGGTATGTGCCCTGACTGGAGTTGAACCCGCAACCCTTTGGTGTACGGACGATGCTCCAACCAACTGAGCCACCCTGCCGGGGCCTAGGGGCAGGGATTTAAAGCTGTCTAGGAAAGGAACTATAGTCGTTAGTTTCTGCTGTGTGCTGCAGAGACTTCTCTACTCAGCAGGGAAGGGAAGGGAGGAGAGCTCACTCTCTGGGGAGCAGTGACGAGCAACTGTGCCCTGGCACAGGTATTCTCACTTGGCTGCCTGACCCAGCGACCAGGTCTGGACAGCTCTCCGAGGGTGCCTCCCAAGGATGAGCTGGGTGGACTGGTCAGAGCTTGAAGCACTCATTTAAAGCAAACTGAGATGTTTACTATTACTGCTCCCCTCAGTTCCTTCAATTCTTATCAATGCTTTAACGATCTGGATTCCTAATGCCTTTATTTCTCTGAAAACAGACGAAGGGATTCCTTTCCAGCCACTTTTTCCATGACCCCCTTGTCCTTCATCTTGGCTGGAACCGCTCTTAGCCATGTCCTTAGCCATGGTCAGGTATCAACTTCGTGGCTAATTGTGTTCAGGAAGGAAGAAACCATATATCGAATGTGAGTTCTTGCCAGATTTTTCCACAGACATTACCTCATTTAATTTCACAAAAACAATCTTGTAAACCAGGTTTTATTACTACAAACTGCAACAGACCAGGCAGGAAGTGTAAATGGGTTAAGCAGGGTAGGTGATTTTCCCAGAGAAGAGTTTTATATGAAGCTCCAATTTTTAAACATTGGCAACTAAACAAATGAATGAACAAATAAAACCACTGTGGTAGATTGTAAAAGATCCCCACAATTCCCTCCCATCCTTGTTTGCATCTCCCTTTGCAATGTGACTTTGCTGCTCCTTCCATCAGGCGATGGAGTCGTTTTGTTTTACTTCCTTGCATCTTACTTTGGCTAATAGCAAACATGACATAAGCAGAGGCTTGAGAAGTACTTGTGCTTTAGGATTTATCAATTTCCCCTCTTGAGACCACCATGCAAAGCTAGGCTAGCCTCCTTGAGAATGAGAGACCACATGGAGAGAGAAATTCAGGCAATAGCCCAGCACTAAGTGCCAGCCATGTGAATGAGGCAATCTGACTGCCAGATGACTGCAGACACATGAGTGATCCCAGGTGAGACCAGCAGGAGAACCACCAGCTAAACCTAGTCCAAATCACTGACTCACAGAATTGTGAATAAACAGAACGGTGTATCTAAGTTTCAGGGTGGTTTGGTAAGCAGTGATAGATAACTGATAAAATTATGTCAAAAAACATGCATGTGGGGTTGAAATAGGTATGGGCTGCCAGTTTAGACCCTCTGCTTTAGATGAATGGGTCTAAGCAACCTCCAGAGGAGGTCCCCAGGTCTAGCATTCCACGGTAGCAGAGAATGATCTGCCTGTGTATAAGGTATTAGTACAGAGAAGGCCAGACTAAATGGGCCATGTTGATAGAAACAAGTGACAGGTTGATAGCAAACTGTGTGAACTGATACCGTGGACCAGGCAGCTTATAAGGCATCTCAGCATATATCAGAATGGACAGATGACATTGTGGTATTATATAAACTTCCCTGGAATTTATATGCAAACCTGGGAGGAAGGGGGTTTTACTAAAGCTGAGTTTTTTATTTCCTGAGGTATGCAGACGAAAAAGTAAATTCAAGAAAAGTAAAAATTGAATTCAAGAAAAATATTTTCTGCAACTGAGTTTAATTGAATCTTGCATCTCGATGGATCCTAAAAGTTAGTCTTTGCTGGTAAGAAAAATAAAATAAATAAATATGAGCCAATAAAAGACAAAGGAAAATGCTTTACTGCTTTATTTTTCCATAAACTTTCCATGCTCTTTCCATTGAATCAGTTTTGAAGGCAGATTTAAGAGGCATTTCGGTTCTTCCTAAGGTGTGAGAGATTTCCTAAAGAGAGTGGTAACAGGTCTGGGACTGGATGAAAATTACTTTGAGGAGCCTGAAAACACTTCAAATGGTGTAAACCTATCACCAAACTTTAGGGATTTCTCCAAAGTGGGTTAATTATTTTTTGTCTCTTTCCATTCTTATAGCAATGATTCAGTAAAACAAGTATTTGCTTTGTAGCTACTAGAGCCAGGCACTATGCTATATACACCCGGGGGGTATGAGAATTATTAAAACACAGGGACAGATAGTTCTGATTGGCTTTCCATTTTAATGTAACCACACACTCATTTCTTTGTCTTATGACTACTGAGGACCTGCTAGGTGCAAGACCCCATGAGATGTGGGGGACGGCGTACTGGTGAAAACTGATGAGTACCATAGGTGCTGCGACAGGAAGGGTCCAGGGAGGGACCCCAGGGTGGGGAGTGGGGCACCTAGCCCTGACTGGCAGGGCAGGGAAGGCTTCCCAAAGAAGATGATGCCTGAGCCAAGTCACATAGAATCAGAGTGGGGTAGGGCACGGTGAGAGGGCAGAATGTGGGTGAAGACAGAGAAGGGGAGGTGCAGGGCATTCAAAGAATGCGCTTAGGGGGGTGACTCAAATAGCAGAGTGGAGGGGTCTAGTGAGGGAAGGCTTCCAGGAAGGGGACGGCCAGGCAGGCATTTGAAGCCGGGGAACAGGGGGACCCTCTGGGCTGAGTATGTCTTTTAGGATTCAAAGACAGCCAGGGAAGGAGCAGGCTGTGTGCAGGGGTAAGGCAGGCACATAGTGGGCCAGAGCAGAGCCACACTAGCAAAGTGGTGAGCAAAAAGAACAAAGGCGTGAAAAGCCAGGCAGGGGAGGGTGGCCTCAGCGAACTGACACGGGGAACACGTGAGGTGAAGAATTTGAAAAGGACCAGGAATTGCAGACACCAGGTGTCTGCTTCTCCCAGATTCAAGTACAAGATAGGTTCACTTTCCCCAGAAGCTCTGGAAGAAAAGTGGGAGAAGTTTCAGACTTACAGACACCAGAGAGTGGGGACTCAGACCAACACTAAGTGCAACGATGAGACCTCCAGCCTCCTTCCCCAGTGCACTTCCAGAATATATCAGCAAGTGTTTTACCCCAGACAAGAGGCTGGAGGACGCTTCTCTAGGACAGTGGCCCGTAACTACTACATATTTTGACAAATAATTATTAAATATAAAAGGTGAAGTCTTTCTAGAAATGCTAATTTAATGAAGTAGATGGCTCCTTTCCCCCATTAATTCATATATCCATAAATTAATAATTCTTAATTTTAGAATGAGATAGGATTCAGCATCATTTAATCTTATTTTATGGTTTTACCGAGATAGGCACTGAGAAAATTTGTTCATAATGTAGATATGCCTGGCAGGAATTTGCTATGGTATCACTCAGTTCTCCTCCTGAATTAAAGACTAATAAATACATAGTGTTCTTTCATTAAACATTATTTTTAATGACCTATCACCTACTCTCTGGAGCAGCCCAGGCAGGCTCCAGCTTCAACCTTACATCAGGCATACTGTGGAATATTTGAGGCTCAGGGTTCTCTCAGGGCTAGATTTCCTAGAACACTTCCTCTCCTACCACCACAATTTAACTCAGTCTTGGGACCATGGAGAAATCAATTTTTTATTTCCTTCTCCTTCTTTCTCCAAAACAGTATCCTCTGTTGAATTTTAATAGATATTAAATCAATGCAGACATACTGTTAGACCTTTAATCTTCTTCAAATAGATGCTACCTATGTTTTAAATTTTTCAATTAAACCAACTTTTATTATACACCGATACAAGGCCCTGCCTAGGATGGGTGCTACAGCCCACACTATTGAAATGAACGCTCAGAAGCTCTGACGATGGCAGCAATTAGCAGCTCTTCGTTTTGGTCCAATGGCCCAGCACATGCAGTCTGTTTTCAGAATGCACAGCAAAACAGCAGCGCCAAGGCACATGGATTATATCAGGGGTGTTATCAGGGAACCCAAGATAAAGCTAANTCAATTTCAGGGAACCCAAGATAAAGCTAATATGGATCAAACTCTTTGGGAGCAGCTCTTCTTAGAGCACTAAGGTGAAGAGACCAACCCAACTCCTTTCCAACTGAGGGTCCTGCCACCTGAGGGACAGATGACTGCCATGTGACTGCACATCTGGTTGCCTCCATAATGAGCAAGGACATTGGCTAGACATCTAATTCACAAGGAAAAAAAAAGTCTTTCTCTATTGCTAGCAATTTGTTCTTTCAGAGAGTAAGAAAATTAAAGATTTAATTAACACTTTTTAGGAAATATTTTGGTATTTACACTTGATTATTATTTAAAAGCAATTTTTACGAGCAGGTCTCAAGAAGTCTCAGCAAAAATTATGCTTCAAAGCATTCTTTTTGAAGAACTCTGGCTAATAACATTCATTTTGGCAAATAACCTTATTTTGTTGCTACTAATACTTGCAATAAACTCAGGCTATTAACAATTCTATTTTATTTTTTGTAGAAAACTGTAATTCAGAGAGTTAAGCCTGACAGCAAGAAGAAATGGAGTTGAGGAGTAATACCAATTTTTCAAGGTATCAGTGATGGGTTACTTCAATTTTTTAATAAGGAAGAACATGAAGAAATTGGGATAGATTTTTTTAATTAAGGGAAAGAAAGGAGGGTAAGGAAAGAGTTATTGATTCATTTGTTAAAAGAGGAATACAAGGGCTGAGGTCTTTATGTATTCATTTGGTTTCTACTCCCTAACTGCACAGCCTCTGTCACAACACACTTGTGCCAATTCACACACAGATCCTGATTTGCATAGCTTTCCTTTATGTCAAAAAAGAAATCAGGACTAAGTCTTGTGGGGGAGGATGCAAAGAAAAACTGGAGAATATTCTAGCTGATGAAAAGTGCTTTACCATCCTTTCCCAAATTCCGAAGACTGCCTTTCTAAAAGAACTCTCTAATGTCCTTATTTAACACCCTCTTTCAGCATACCTTGATTCCCAGAGTACTTCTAAAATTTAATTAAAATGGAGTAGAAAGTGAATTTATTGTTTTTTTTCCTAGTTTTAAAATGAGAAGCTGAAACTATGTATTTATAATTATGATTATATTTTAATATGGTGCAAAATCAGGAGTGCAGAGACCTGCAGTAGAGCCAGAGAGAGAATGCGAGTGAAAAGATGTCGAAAAGGCAGCAAATTAGTTTTTGGAAACCAGGTTTATATATTTAAGAACAACTGGGACAGAGAGAATTAAACAAGCAAAAAAGATGGGTAAAAAAAGAAAGGAACAATTATGCATATACACCCCCCACCCCCCAGATTTTGGCCTGTGAAATCCAAGAATTTTAGTCCATAATTCATGTAAATGTGTTGCTGTGGAACTTATTTTCACTTCTCTCCATAAATACATTGTTAACACAAAGAATAATATTCTTAGTTCACAGACTACAGTTGAGACATTTCAGGAGTTAACTTTTCCTTAAAAAACAACAATCTGAAAAGGCTATAAATCTTTCTTACTGCCTTTGTGCGGGTCTTAGATTCACCCTACCCATTTCCAAACAAAACAGTAAGAGTGCGACGACTTTAACCTAAAGAGTGAAGGATTTAGTGGGCTGTCAATGTCTCGCAGAATTCTTCTTTTCTGGTACTGCTGCTCTCTATGTATTATTAATCTATTTATATTTAACTCCAGCCATTAGTGCTCCTCTTCCAGCCACTGAACCATTTGCAAAGGAGAGGAGAGGGAACAAGGGCTGCTATTATTAGGCATTCTTGTGTGTGATGAGGGTGGACACAATTAAATAACACCATCTTGCTTCTTTGAAAATGACAGAAATTGTTTGGGGTGGACAACTCAGGGCTTGTTAACATAACCTTTCCCCTCCAGAAAGTAAAACAATAGAGATACATTTTTTTAAGTACTTAATTAAGCCTTCAGCAAGGCTTGTGGAAAAATTACAGACCTATAAAAACCCTCCAGGTCTAGGCAGGAGTAAATTTTCTCTGCAGCACTCTGTCACTTCTCATTGGCTGCATCATTTTGACAACATCTCATATTTCCACAAGGCTTTTACATAATCTATAAACAGGGACAGAAAGGTGAGGAACAGAGGGAATGGGGACAAAGTTTAGAACTCCCATAGTCACTTCCTTTTAGTTTTCCATTAACAGGTGAGGGTGAAGGGTGGCATTTTAAGATGACTTCATGAAAAGGCTAAGACATTAATAACTGACACAGCAAGAATGCTGTGAAAAATTGCCACCTCTTGCTCACTCTTCCAAAGGATGTGTGCAACTCAGTCATAATGAAGGCCCTTTAATGTTCCTCCCCCAAACCTCTTTCGATCAGGAAAGCCTGGGATCTGTAGGCAAGAAAGATAATCACATTAAATCTCAAGTAGGCAGAGTTCAAATGCTAATAGCCTTTAACTTTTTTCTTTCTTTAAAATATCAGTCCGTTGTTCCTGAAAGAACCACTATTCTGTGGTTTTACTCAGAAAACCACAGCAGACTAAATAATAAAAATAAATCTACCAAAGTGGAAAACATTTGCCAGCAAATTGGTGACTGTGTCATCTAAATCAGAGAGGATGAAGGTGAATCTCCTAATATTCACCTATTGGACTTCATATGAATTATTTGCTTGTGATAGACATTGGGTATATACCTTCGGTGTCTCAAGCAAATGATTTTGTTCTATTATTTTATAATGTAACCCTATCCTTGGATTTTTAAAAAATTTGTTTTTGTCTTGTGGACCCTTACTTTCCCTTGATCTGACTTTCTTTTCAATTAACAGAAGAAAATCAGTTGCTTGTGCCTACAAAGGGACTCCATCCCCCCTTTTTAACCCCTTCTGAAAATAAATCTGGAAATACACCTCTCTACAAATTTAAAAACCCATTTTATAAAGAAAATATAGGTGCTGACCTGATTACCATCTCTTAAAAAGTATCTCTTCTCTATGACCTGTGAAAAACAGAGATTTTAAGGGTTTAGCACACACACACATACCTGGAAAAAGTAGCTAACTGTAATGGCGACTCATGGGACTAAAAGGCATATATCCAAATTAAGAGTCTTTTCAATAGCTATAAACATCTGGTACGATGAGTTGAATCTGGTGCTAATGGATCAGGATCATGGGAGTATTTCCTAAGAGTCTGCCTCATTCCAGAAAGTACTAATAGATTAAAAAAATAAATGAAAAAATTATAACGACTAAGTAATCAGAGACTGACATATGATCCCATGCAATTCTTAGTATATATAGCAGGAAATCTGGCTCTAAGTTTCCTAGCAGTCAGCCCTGAAAGGTACCAAACAGAATTCATAAGAAGAAAGCAAAGCACCTGCCTACTAATAGTACAGCTATTCCTTAAAGAGGAGTCTGTGTAATATAATAAACCACCACATCTCTCCAGCAGACCCAGTGATAAATCCTCCAGGGCCTCAATGGAGACAGATGACACAACATCAAGTGTCAATTCGCTTCTTTTTATGGACCTAATCTGCACCTTTGATTCAGTAGTTTCAGAACTGTGTGTACTTGGTCAGTAGGAGAAACACAGTAAAGCTGTGGATGTATCTGCACAAATCTATCACTACTATTATAAAGAAGCCCTCAAACGACATGTCCTAAATGGTGAGTTTAAGGAGGACCACGTTTTCAGATGATGAAAAACACTTAAAAATAATATTAAATTTTATGCTAGCACTTGAGAAACTGCAATGATTGCAGAGGCAGTATTGTTTTCTTTACACAGAGCTGTTGTGATTAAGAAAAAATCAGATAAGAATACAGATTAGCTGGAGATTAACTCTAAGACAATGGAATCTAGAATTATGAAAATAAAAATTCCTCTGAATAAACACTGAGCACCTTCTTATAGGCCTATGTCAGCTTACTCTCACTGGCCCGACAGCCAAAATGTCTCAATTTTCCTATCTTAGAGACTACGGCTGGGTCACTGTTGGCCACAAGAATCCCGGGGGTAAGGTTGCATTCACTGGCCTCAGAGTTAGAAAAGTTGGTTCATGATCAATATACATCTCAAAATACTTGGTCTTATAGAAAGCAAGAAGGGACTGATTCTCTTTCCTCTCTCCAGGGCAGGGCAGGAAAATCAAATCCTATCATTCTAGAATGGGGAAGAATTACTACTAGCCAAGACAGACTGGAGGAGGAGTCAGATTCCCTCTTGGAAAAAAGATCTTTACATTAAATTCTTGCAGCCCTGGCTGGTGTGGCTCAGTTGGAGCACTGTCCTGTGCACCAAAATATTGCAGTTCAATTCCCAGTCAGTGCACATACCCAGGTTGTGGGTTCGATCTCTGGGTAGGCACGTACAGGAGACAACCAATCGATGTTTCTCTTTCACATCAATGTTTCTCTCGCTCCCTCTCCCTTCTTCTCTCTCTAAAATCAATGGGGGGGAAAATTCTCACAGATGTGATATATAGAAAACTGGGTGAAATTTAGCTGCCACGTCCCTTGGTTTCAGGCAACCACCTCAGTCTGGCCAACCTCTTAATCTACATACCTTTGATTATGATTTAGGCAATGAAGACAGAAGTTACCTTTTTACTTTTGCTCATAATTCCCTACCCTCAACTTGCAATGTCCTCTTACTAAATCTTGCTTTCTTCTTAAAATCCATCAAGTTCTCTCTAATTTTTTTTAGAATAAAGCCTTGACAGACAACTTGGGTCACACTAGTCTATAACCCATTGTTTCTCTCGGATATAACTTACTACATTTAATATTTCAATTCCAAAATTATTAAATTACTTAAAAATGTAAACAGTATATTGTGGGATCTTTCCATGTCAGCCACAGATCTATAAGATGTTGCTCTTAGGGGATAGCATTTTGTATCAGATGAGATCAGGAATCTAAACCAAATGAAAGTTCTTACATTTTAAGTTTGAAAACAATGTAGACAGAAAATGTGGTTCCTTGCAGTGCATCCCATTTAGAAAATGTTAATATTTGTACAGCACACTGGGGTAAATGGAAGAGGTTGCCAATCACCCAGCCTGAGGGGCTCTGGCTGCTCGGAGAAAGGGGGGGATCAATATCTCAGCACAGCTGTACCCTATTTGAGAAATACCATGTGGAAAGTTCTGCAATGAAGCAAAAATTTCCCAGTGATCTCATATTAAATAGGGAGGGGTGTGGGGCTTTATCTTCTGCTGACATATTGGATAAAGGGCCAAATATTAGATCTCTAAATTGCTAAAAGAAAAATGATTCATAAAGAAGACCTATGAGAGAAATGTTTCTTGGAAGATTACACTTAGAAGGAAATATAATAAAGAAATTAATCTTTTTCAATAACACATACAGAAATACTATTTTACTTTATACACAATGTCAGCATTGGGCAAGCAACTTAAACTTGGTCAATACTATGTGCAATGCAGCTGTATGGCCTTGTAAAGGAAAAACAAACAGTGCTCCAATTTATTAGCATGCTGAGTCATTCTACATTTTCATTCTACAATAAGATGATGCTAGCAAAAGTCAAGAACTGGAATGCAAAGGTTTCTGATAGGGAAACGATAGGGGATCAAGGTGATGACATTACCTTAAAAGTAATAGTAAAAACTATTAATAGCTGGGAGAGCAAAAAGAACTCAGGGCTTTAACTAAGTAGAATCTCCTCAGTTTATTGCCTTTTGTAGGGCTTAAATACAAAAAGAGATAGAAAATATGGAAATATAAATTGTTTAAAGAAGGGGAATTAGGTTGTTTTTTTTTTAATTTAAATCCAGTAGCTTTCATCCTTTGCTTAGAGAACACTGCTGATAGAATAAATACGTCAGCAGGCCTTGAGCAATTATACCAACAGATAAGAGAGATCAAAACAAGTATTATTCAGCTTGTGACGTTTGGGATGAAGGCATAAAAGGACAAAGTATTCTACAAAAGAGTTAAGTTTTCGTAATATATAAATTAAGTTTAAAAATAACTTAATTGAGGCCATTACCTTATCAAAAAACCTACTGAGCTTGACAGCGTTGGAAGAACCAGCTGCTAAGTACCGTGGATTTGTGCAATCCTAGAAGATAAAACGTAAGACCTACAATTAAAAGTTAGGGAGCATAGCTCTTTGTTAGTTATCACTGTTCCTGTCGCACATTTCTATAGTAAAACATTAGGCATAATACTCATAAAATATTCACATAATTTTCAAATTATGATGCACAAAGCAAAGGGGAAAGTGCTAAAGGAAGATAAGGCCATTTTTTGTTATTTAAGCAACTGTAGAGGACACTGGAACCAATGTGCTCATCACCAAATTCATAAAGGAAGACAGGGTTGCTAATATCTGATTAATAAAACCAAGATACTGATCAGGTGGCCTACTGACATTTACCCTGAAAAGCAGAAGTCATCAAAAAGTCAACATTTCACTTTTTAACACTAGTTACTTACCAGTGCACAACTAAGTTCTATGCAGTTCATACAAATAGTAGGAAGCATGAAAATAAGGAGTTAAGGGAAGCAAAGAACAAACAGAACAGTTGCCAGGGATCTCCCACTCACTGAATACAAGGTAAATAATACATCTCTTGGTGGGCCATAAAGATAATAACAAACAACAGATATATTTTTGATAATAATGAATGAATTATTAAATATCATTCGGCTTTATTATTAAATAGTTAAATAAACAATAATTAACAATAGATATATTACTATTAAATAGGATTTTTAAAAATCGGGGAAAAATGGGGCCCAAATAAGACAAAACAATCCGGAACATTAAATCATTATAATGACTATTAAAAATCTTAAAGGCTTACTATCCTTTTATTGAAATTCCAGTGTTGTGATGCCTTTGCTTGTCATTACTGACTTGCCACCTTAAGAGACAGAATACTTTGATTTTTTACCTCAAATGGCACATAAGACCAAACTATGAGGATATCATGTAGGCTCCTTTGCGAGAATGGTATTTGTCTTTCAGGTCATGTCCCTTGGGAAATTCTGAAATTATTGGTGTTGCATTTATTGATTTGTAATCTCTAAGCCCACAATTCCTTTCCAGTAAATTCTGAAACAGTCACTTCTTTTATACATATATAACACTTTGAGGCTCACATTTTTAATTTTGGCTAGAATCTGTAATACATTTTTAAAACCACAAAAAAAGAGAGACTACAACAAACTTTTTGAAAGATCACAGAATACTAGAAGCAAGCAAGCTCTGAATCTGAATATCTGTCACAACATTTCTAGATTGTGTGACATCGGTTAGGTTACTAAATCTTTAAAGTGGAGCTCTTTTATGAAATGGGGATAACAAAACTTGTCCCATAGGATTTTTTGTGAAAATTAAATGAGATAATGCATGTCTGGCACATAGAGGTACTAAAATATTAGTTCCCTTCTCTTTTCATTCCAAGAAAATGCTATCAGACTGAATTTTCAGACACAAAGCACCTAATATAAAAGATAATTCCATATATGGAATAATAGACCGAAATATCGTCATGCAAACTTTTGTAATGTTTGAACACATTTATACAGCAGTCGGGGCATGTAAGAGACAAACCTTAGACGGACCTATGTTAGATGTTTTACAAAATGGATACTGATTACATAGTCATGAGTATATCAAAAGACTTCAGAGATGATTCCAAAAAGAGCTAAAGTACTAAATATAAAAAATAAACCAAGCAGCAAACAAATAAACAAAACCTCCCAAAAACTTAATTCTAAGGCCACACAATTTCAGCTTGACCAGGCTAGAGAAACTCTGTGATTTCAGGATAAGAATTTTAGGGCTGAGCCATCTGTTATTAGTCATGGCCGAGGGCAAAGCCTGAAGATTGATAGCTCTAAATAGCTGTTTAAGCTTGAGAAAGGGCTAATAATAACTAGGGAAGATGCTTTACTATGACCACTTTGAAATAAATGCATAACAGAAAAGCTTGTACTAGACACAATCAGCCTAATAGGATTAAAAAAATAAGTAATCTTCTCCCTCTTTGTAATTTAAACACTGCCTTGTTTCAGGCACAATATAACTCTGATTCCTTCTTTGATGTATATATACAGTAACCAAAGATGCTAGCACTAATACTGTTAGACTAGTTTATTATTTGAGGATTTATGTTTATTTGCTGAGTCTTTTGACTATCTCTTTTTGAAACTCATACAATTTTTCTCCTCATTTTAAGTTCCTTCCATAGTCAAGACCCCTCTGGTGGTTTCTGCTGTATCCTTGAAATCATACATGGATAAAAGGCCAAAAGTATGTTGTGCGTGAACTCTGGGGAGACTGGATGTGCCAAAGTATCACCATCTGACTACCTTTACATCCTGTTAACTGGCCCTGACTTTGCAAGTAAAGTAGGAAAATCATACATCTAGCCATGAAAAACAGATACATCCCAAAACACACTGAAAGTAATTAATGGAACAAATTAAGTATATTTAATGGTAAATTACACTTTGGAAATAATGTTCAAATGAAGTAACCTCAACATCTTTTCAACAGGGATATTATATATTCCAAGTAGCAGAATCATCTGGGACATCATGGCCCAGTGCTGACCACTCGGGGCACTTACGATGAATATTCCATGGTGGCAGCTGAGAAAAATAAGGCACCTGCAGGGCAAAGGAGAATGTGACAAACAATGGAAGGGCAGACAGAAGCTGACTCAATTGTGGGGGTAGAGGTGGGGTTGAGCCAAGCAGTGTTCACAAATGTTGATTCTCAGAGTAAGGGCATCAGAATCACCGGAGTCATTTGTTAAAATCAGAGTCCCAGTCCTCCTGCCAGACCTTATGAATAAAAAGCTCCTGCTGTGGGGAAGTTATTAAAAAAAATTCACAGGTACTGTTTGTTGGTAATATGAATATGCAGTCAGGTTTGGGTAACTGTTAATCTAGGTATTTCTAAGAGTTCTTTCAGCTCCAAGATTCTAAATGTTAGTTGTAGGATAATTAAGTAGAAAACAGCTTAATTGTACAGCACAGGCTCTGAAGTCAGAGTGCCTGTTTTGACCTGTGTAACCTTGTCCTAGTTACCTCTCTCTGCTACTAGTATTCATCTTTAAAATGGGGGTAATAATAATGCCTACCTTATAGGGATGATGTGGAGATGATGCATGTGGGATAATGTACGTAAATAACCAGAACAGTGCTCAGCACATAAATGCTCAATAAATGGTAGCAACTGGTATTATTAAACCACCACGACCACCACATGTCTGAATGCCAGTGCCCTGTATGTGTGCCCAAATCCTACTTGTGAGCAATGACACATCCTTCTGTGGGCAACACTAACTAGTTTATATGAGCACTTTTCTTAGCCTTTTTAGCACCAAGTTCCAATTGAGCTAAATAACCTCAGGAAGGGATTCAATCCTCTATTTACACATAATAGTATATAAACTAATGCCTATGAAGCACTTCTAGCTTATAGTCTGTAATTTTTTCATAGTCTAGTTGTTTGTCCTTTAAGGTAAATTCTGTAATTCGAGAAGCTAAGACGCCATCCTAAAGCAAGAATAATCAAGGTACAGTATCAGTAACCTTTCTTTGTCACCTTAGTTTACTTATTTTGATTTTGGTGTGGGTTTTTTTTGTTTTTTTTAAAATATATCTTTATTGATTTCAGAGAGAGGAAAGGAGAGGGAGAGAGAGAGACATCAATGATGAGAGAGTCATTGATCGAGCCCACAACCCGGGCATGTGCCCTGACCGGGAATCGAACCCCGATCACCTGGATCCTAGGTAGACGCTCAACCGCTGAGCCACGCCCAGCCGGGTGATTTTGGTGTGGTTTTAAAAAATCTTTTTAGAAAAAGTGCATGATTTTTACATTATTCATAGAACAAAGTTTAAACATTCCAACCCATCAGCATACAAGGAGGCTGAAGTGACTGTGCCCATCTGACAGTCTATGCTGATTCCAGTTTTCACCGTATTTTGGAGTAGAACCAAAATAGCCTGATTTCAAGTATAAAGCTTCTTTTGTGAGACTATGTGACTTGTGAAGTCTTTGGTTTTGCTTTCAACTGATAATAACACAAACATGCATTAGTAAAAATACACACCAAATTAATCTCTTCTGCATTGAAATCCTCAGCCAGGAAAGCAGTCCTAGTTAAAACTTCATGGCGCTTGGTTTCGTGAATCTGGTCCAGTTTAGTTCCTATTACCAACAGCGGGATTTGGTTATCAGCAAAGTGTTCCCGGTCATAATCCCTGTGATAAATAATGAAGAGGTGAATAGAATTTACCTTTTTCATGTAGATGTGCAGTATTTAAATGCAATTAGCTTATACTATTTTACTGATAATTCACTGACTCTTGCTCATCCATCACCTCTAAACCTACTTTTCTCTTGATTTCTTCCATCTACTTGTTTATTTAACAATCCATCCTCACCACTTACAGAATTCCCACTATTCATCTAACTACTCAAAATTTGTCCCCATGAGTGTTTATAGGCTACTTGAATAACTGAATGCCCACCAGGTATACCAAAATAGGTTGAGTTGACTTCTCCCAAAGCTCTGTCTTCTAAGGCTCAGGAATTTTTGTGTATAGATGCAGAGAGTGGATTCAAACCTCAATGGGGAGAAAACCCTGGAGCCTAGCATGGCACTCAAACCTGTGTCAGAGGGGGAAATGACAAGCTTTTGGGTACCTGCATGGCTATGCATAAGCTCTATACTACCACACACATTTCTGTCTCTGAATAATAAAGAAAAATAGATTGCTTAAGGAAAACAGGAAATAGGGATGCAGAAGGCCAGAATAAATTAACCACAGATGATGCTATAGCCTAGGGAAAGATGGATTCAACACATGGAAAGGGAAAGAAACAGTTAAACCACAAAATGAAGAGTAAGAGGAAAGAATTAAGTAACAAATAGTTGTTTGTCCTGATACCAGAGCTGTGGGAGACAGATGACAGGGAGACAGAGGACAGGCAATACAAGTCCCTTAGGGTCACTGGCCATTACAATTCTTTTTTTCTATTTCTACCCAAAGGATAGAGTGGTATTCCTTCTATTACTAAAAGGACCATAGAGCCCAAAGGTGTTGAATTAACTTAAATTCTATTCACATATGATAAATAAAAGGTTTGGATTTCTGACATAAGCTCAATTTACTACAGTCAGCAAAATCTGGTTTCGAACACCTTATGACAGTAAATCAATATTGCATAATCCAATCAATACAACCAAGTTGAACATAGCTGTTTTTCTTCCTTTGATATTACTTTCCTTTCTCTCTGATCTAAATTGGGTGTGTGTGTGTACAAAATTATCAAATCTTTTTGTCTTTCACAATAATCTTGCAGAACCTCAGTTACTGTTCAGCCTCGGAACACAATTGCTTTGAACTATGTAACCTCCCGTTTCATAAAAATATTATCATTCTATTTATTGCATCAAAGCCAATAATAGCTTGAGTTTAAGGCCCTTGATCTTTTGGTCAACATCAATCCTGATTTAGGAGAAATTGTCCCAAACTGAAATCTGTTTTATTAGAGACTAAAGCATTGAGAGTGTCCTTCTTTAGAACTTTCCTTTTTCTTTTCTTTTTTTTTTAATATATCTTTATTGATTTCAGAGAGGAAAGGAGAGGGAGAGAGAGATAGAAACATCAATGATGAGAGAGTCATTGATTGAGCCCGCAACCCGGGCATGTGCCCTGACCGGGAATCGAACCCCAATCGCCTGGATCCTAGGTCGACGCTCAACTGCTGAGCCACGCCTAGCCGGGCAGAACTTTCCTTTTTCTATGCTCGCTAACTCTGGCTCACATACAAATTTTTGTATATAGTTTATCAAACATCATTTTTGATACAGATATATTTCTGTTACTTGTAGTCTTGCATAATCTCTTGCACATCAACATATATATGTATTACATATGTAATATATATGCTGCAAGTTTTACACATTAACATATGTATTATATATGTAACATAACAATATGTGTTACAATATTCATTTAATTTGTTCCCTTATATGTCTTTTTAGCTTTCCTTTTCTCTCTCTTTTATTAAATCTTACATCCAATATGACTTTGGAAAAAACGAAAAACAAAAAATTGCATCTTTCAGACCACTATATTTAAGTACCATTTTAGAGAATACCTAGGATTCAGAGAAACAAATTTAACAGACACTACAGGCATACACTCAACAAAATCCAGAATACGGGAAACTCCACAGGACAAATAAGCCATCATCTTTTCATAAATAAACTGCTAGAGGATAAAAAATAAAAATAAAAAAAAAAGGAGAAGATGAAAAGAAATAAAATATAATGAGTGGACTTTATTTAGATACAGATATGAATAAACTAGCATTTATGAGATATTTGGGGAAATTAAAATAATATTCTATATTAAACAATTATTGTTAATTTTAAGTATGACAATTACATTTTGGTTATGTTCAAAAAGTTCTTTTTTAAAAAAAAATATCTTTATTGATTTCAGAGAGAGGGAGAGGGAGAGATAGAAACATCAGTGATGAGAGAGTCCTTGATCAGCTGCCTCCTGCACGCCCCCTGACTAGGGATGGAGCCCGCAACCCAGGCATGTGCCCTGACCGGGAATCGAACCGTGATGTCCTGGATCCTAGGTCGATGTTCAACCGCTGAGCCATGCTGGCCGGGCATGTTCAAAAAGTTATTAATCTTTAAAGTTACACATTGAAGTATTGTATATATAGATGAAATGATATCATGTCTAGGATTTGCTTCAAAACATCAATGAAGCAAAACATCTGTGTTCGTGAATTAGAAGAGGCAATAAAAATTCTCCCTGATTTAATCTATAGGTTTATTACAATTCCAATAAAAATCTAAGTATAATTGTTGTCAATATAGACAAGCTGATTTCAATTTTATATGGAGAGGCAAACTAGACTAGCTAAATAATTTTGAAAAGGAATAAAGTGAAAGGAATCACACTACCTAATTTTAAGACCTAGTATAATGCTACAGTCATCAAGGCTGTAATTGGTGAAGGGACAGGCATGCAGATCAATGGAACAGACTTAGGAAGTCTAGAAATAGACCTATGTAAGTATGGTCAGCTGATTCTTGGCAAAAGAGTAAAAGCAATTCAATGGAGAAAGACTAATCTTGCCAATAAATGGTGTTGGAACAATTGGACATTTATATGCAAATGTCACCCTCAACTAAAACCTCTCACATTATAAGTAACTCAAAAAGGAGCAGATCTAAAAGTAAACCTAAAGCTATAAAACTTCTAGAAGAAAACAAGAGAAAACCTGCATGTTCCAGGTTAGGTAAAGAGTTCTTAGACATGATACCAAAAATTACAATATATAAAAGAAAAAACTGAGGAATCAGACTTTTTAAAAATGCAAAACTATTGCTTTGTGAAAGACACTGTTAGAAGAATGAAACGGCAATCTACAGACTAGGAGAAAATATTTGCAAATCAAACACCTTACAAAGTGTTATTCTGGAGGGTGCATTCTTGTGATTGCTATAACATTTCAAACCAATTGTGAAGTAATCTGGGCTTACCCATTTGTTACCAAGACTCCAGTTGGCACCAAATCCTTGTTGAGAGCTTCTAATGACCAACGATACAAGTTTTGGGATGACTTCTTATTTGTTAAGTCATGTACTAAAATAATACCTGAAACAATCAGAGAAAATAAAGTCAATACAGTAACGATCCTTCTTCACTTTAGAATTGGCAAAATGAGACTTAGTAAATAACAAGCATTAAGTTCCTTAGTGAACATAGCATTCTAGTGTGACTAACAAACTCAGACACAATTATTTTAAAATTTCCTCTATAAATTCTTACAAATAATTATTTGTAAGAATAACTACCACATTTTCTTTGTCAGTCTAACTTTTAAAAATTCTATAAGGACTGACAAAAATGTCATTAAACTTTTAGAGTGTCTTTTCTTTTTTTTCTTCACTCAACACTCCATGTGCCTACTCTGCCTTGTCCTAAGTGCAGAACCACCTCATCAATAAAAAGAATCAAAACTACTTCAAGTATATAAGAAATTATACATACTCAAAAAGCTAATTGTTTTTGCACTCTGCATAGTACTATCATAGACATCATACATACACATATTACTTATTCTCACTAAAAATATTAAATGATAAAATATATTAAAACAGTATTAATTTAACTCGATACAATTGTTATTCTTTACCTGAAAAAAATGTTTTCCTGTAGATTACCTGGGCCTGCCTAATCAGCTCAAAAGTCTAATTTTTTAGTTCTTGAGAGATTTAGTTAAAAGAGCAAAATAAATATGCCACTAGAAGGGGACAGGAAAAGACAGTCAGGAGATATGAATAGTAGAAAACAGATGGACTTTTGAAAGAGTGAGAAAAATAATAAAATGTAATGATGCTCGGAAATACAACAAAACAGAATCAGTTAAGATCCTAGACAGAAAGGCAAAGCAGGCAATTATTATGCTAAGTTATAGACAAAAAGGGAAAAGCTTTAACGCCTAGTGAAATTTAAGATATCTTGAGGTCAAAAGACTATAGGTTTTCAAGCCCCACCCCTTTTGTACTATCCAGATTCCACTGTGAAAAGAAGCCATAAAACTGAGGAATCCTCCGTCTTCACGGTGCCAGTTTGAAAAAGGGCAGGAGAGTTAGAATTGTTTGGCTCCTCTAGTGTTTAGACATTTGTGCAATGAAGAGGCTTGTGCATGTCATGCCTAACTTGTTTAAGGTGGTTCAGATAAATCTGTTCTCTCTCCCGGCATCTGGAATGAACAGGTCTGACAGTTGTCCCCATATCCAACTGCACTCACTCTACGCTCCTCAATGAGGTGTTCTATTAGGCATCAGGGACACATCGCTGAGGACACATTTTAAAAAAGGAATAAAGAGCTACCATTAAATAATGTAGCTAACACTTATTCACCACTTACATGCTACATATTATGTTTTACATGTGTTATCTATGTGATTTTCAGAACAGTCCTATGGGGAAGAATTATCTTTATTTTACGCATGTGGAAACTGAGGCTCAGAGAGGTTGAATAATTTGCCCTAGGTCACATGGTAAGTGGGGTAGCCAGAATTTGAACTTGGCTAATTTGACAGTAAAGGATTGAGGAAAAGTAGAATAAAGTCTCACTTTAGGGCACAGGAGTGGCAGATATTTTCTCCTCTCCCTATTTCCCAGGTATAAATATCATAAAACTATGGGTGAAACTTTTGGTTGGGAAAGTGAAAGGATTACAAAGGCCTAGGTGAGCTATTGGATGGGCGGGGAGGAGTTCATTTTCTAAAGATCTCCATTGAAGACTTTGGAACTTCTAAAGGCATTTGAGTGCCCTTTTCCTCATTCCCTCCCTCCCCCTCGGGATGAGAGTTCCTGTCTGTAGGAGCTACGAGGGTCAGGCTAGGGCCCAGAGGGTGAAATCAGGGTGACAGCTGAGCAGCATATGATCTAATCATAAAAGAGAGAGAGGTGGAGACACACTTTAGAGGGTTCCTTTGGGGATTGATTACCAGACTAGTTCCTCACGGCGGGAAGAAGGTAGGGTATTGAGGGAAGAATGTTATTGCTAAGAATAAAGACTGTGCATTTGAATGGAGTGATCCTTATGCTCTGTTTCTTAGGACACTAAGGATGGTAGATGGAACCTTGAGAGCTTCTACCAAGAGAAATGTTCCAGAGCTAGAATAACAAAACATAAAACATTTGTTTATGTAACAGGGATTAAAAAAAAAAAAAAATCCTCATCCAAGGATGTGTTTTCATTGATTTTTTTTTTTTTTTAAAGGGAGAGGAAGGGAGAGAAAGGGAGAAACATCAGTGTGAGAGAGAAACATTGATTAGCTGCCTCCTGCACGCCCCCTACTGGTATTAAGCCCACAACCTGGGCATGTGCCCTGACATGGAATCAACCCAGTGGCCTCTTGGTTCATGGGTTGATGCTCAACCACTGAGCTACCCCAGCTAATCCAGGTATTTGAATCTCTATAACTGAAGGAAAATTTTGCAACCCTAAAAACACCCTTAGGCATCTCTTTATAATTAATTACATAGGACTTTCTCTAAGGGACAGATGAAAGGAATCTTTGTATCTCTGTGACCTCTGGCTTAGACTACAGGATTCTTAATAGCTGTATGGTATTTACCCAATTCACTGGAGAAATAGCACTTTCAGGGGACAGTGTTTTGAAAGTTCCATGTTTTATGTCAAATACCCAAAATACAATTTTATTTCTCAATATTTAGTTTATAACAATAATATAAATAGAAACACTATGACAGAGTAAATATTTCATGTTCTGAATTACATGGCTAGAATCTAGAAACACAAACTGGACTGTGATATGCAGATTTAAATTAAAAGTTGTAAGTAATTAAGTCTTTCTTAAATTAAGATGAGTCCAGCAACCCATAGCATTTCATATCAGATGATCTGTACTCTTGGACCATTAATACATGGTAGAAATAAAAATGCTTTACCATTTATAGAGTTGTAAAATACTGCTCTTGTGCTTTTCACGCTGCTGGCACTGCCCACAGAGCCTCCAACATCCCATAATTCTATATAGTAGGTCTTCTCTTCTGGGGTTCCTTCTTTGTAGTCATGTACCTAAAAAAAAATCAATCCATCAAAATAATTATTATAGCCACTTAGGAAACTGATAAGCACCCTCATTCCAGTTTAAAGCACTGGACACTGCATATTAGCATGTCACCCTCTGACTCTGATCATCACCTGCTATCTTTCAAGTTTCCTCCCTCTAAAACTCCAACTCTAATAATCTTTGACCTCACAGGACTCTAATTGATCCTCACACCTTTCACAGCTCTCCCTTCTACTTCCAAATCCTCCCTTCCCAACTAAGCATAAATTCCATGCTTTGTCTTTCTAGTCACTCCTCTGCCCCTCTCTCACACTGTATTCACCTGACAAAATTCCAACCTTAATTATATCCACCTTTCCCCTGATTTCCATGTCTACAACTCAGCTAGCTGAATGTNGTATGTAGTTAATTGATCCTCACACCTTTCACAGCTCTCCCTTCTACTTCCAAATCCTCCCTTCCCAACTAAGCATAAATTCCATGCTTTGTCTTTCTAGTCACTCCTCTGCCCCTCTCTCACACTGTATTCACCTGACAAAATTCCAACCTTAATTATATCCACCTTTCCCCTGATTTCCATGTCTACAACTCAGCTAGCTGAATGTGAAGCTCGAAAATACACATTCATGTTGACTGGATTAATTTTAAATTCAAGTGTACCCGTGGAGCCCTCTTTTAGTCAGTTGCATAGTTCATTTCCTCTTTTTCTCTCCTAGATAACTATTTCATACTTTCTCTTTTTTTCCAAATTTCCAATACAGTATCTCTCCCTTGTCCTCAAACACAGCTAATGACCTTGCTTCCTGTGACAGAAACAGTCAGAAGCGAACTTCTACAACCTGTTGTTCCCATATCTACCCACCTCCCTGCATTTGTCCCTGCAAAATCTACTTTCCCTCCAGCTATTAGAGATAGGCTGTCTGTGTCTCTAATGCTGAATACCAGCCTCCTGTGCATGAGATCCCATCTCCTTTTCTTATCAAAGATGTAGATTCTCTCTCTCTTATCATCCAATTTTCCCCTCTCAGTTGGACAATTCTCACCAGCATATAAACGTGCCATAATTTTTTCTATCTTAGAAAAAAAAAAATACTGTGTACTTCCTCAAGCTACCATGCTGCTTCTGTTCCTTCAATTATATTAATTAATTAGTTTATTTATTTTTATTGTTTTGTGTGTTCATCATCCAAAGTTGTCCCTTTCATCACCATTTATCCCCGCCTTTACCCTCTTCTACCTCCCCCACCCCCTTTCCCTCTTGCAATCACCATGCTGTTGTTTGTGTCTATGAGTCGTTTTTTGCATAATACCCTTCATCTTTCTCACCCAGCCCCCCAAGCTCCCTCCCCTCTGAAAGCTATCAGTCTGTTCTCTGTATCTATGAGTCTGTTTTTCTTTTGTTTGTTTGTTTATTTTGTTCATTAGATTCCACATATAAGTGAAGTCATATGGTATTTGTCTTTCTTTGACTGGCTTATTTCACTTAGCATAATTCTCTCCAGGTCCATCCATGCTGTTGCAAAAGGTAAGATTTCCTTCCTTTTTATAGCTGAGTAGTATTCCATTGTGTAAATGTCCCACAGCTTTTTTATCCACTCATCTACTGATGGACACGTGGGCTGCTTCCAAATCTTGGCTATTGTAAATAAAACTGCAATGAACATAGGGGTGCATATATTCTTTTGAATTAGTGCTTTGGGTTTTTCTGTTCTGAAAGCACTCCAGAGGACTTTTGAGTCTTTTCTCAACTGTGTCTAATTCTTTTCCTTACATTCTCTTTTGAACTCATTCCTGTCACACTTTTGCCCCAATTACCCCACTTAACTATTCCTTATCAGGGTCACCACGGACTTCCACATTGCTAAATTCAGTGATCAATGAACAGTTCTCATCTTACTCTACCACTTGACACAACTAATCACGCCTCTGCCTTGCAATATAGTCTTCACTTAGCTTCCAGGATATCACACTCTCCTGGTTTTCTTCCTACCTCACTGTCTAATCCTTTTCAGTCTCCATTTGGGTTGTCCTTACTCTATTCTTCAATTGTTGTAGTGTCTTAAGATATTTTATTTTATTTTTTATTGATTTTTAGAGAGAGAGGAAGGGAGAGGGAAAGAGATAAACATCGACGTGAAAGCGAAATATCTATCGGCTGCCTCCTGCACACCCCAGACCGGGGATCAAGCCATCAACACGGGCATATGCCCTGATCTGAAAGCAAACCTGCAACCTTTCAGTGCACAGATCAACCTTCAACCAACTGAGCCACACTGGCCGGGGCTAATCTTATGATTTTAAATGTCACTATGTTGGTGAATTCCAAATTTTTATCCATCCTGGACAAGTTCCTTGAACTTCAGACTACTATAAGCCACCAGACTACAAGTTGGATGTCTAACAGATACCTCAAATTTAATATATAAAAATAATTTCCTGATCTTCCTCCCAAATCTATTCTTCTCCCAGTTTTGACTCAGTAAAAGGCAATTTCATCTTTTCAGTTACTTAACGGGCCAAAAACTTAATAGTTATCCTTAACTTTTCATACTGCATATCTGATTTGTCAGCAAATCCTATTGCCTTTGCTTTAAAAATATTTCCAAAATCTGTTCATTTCTCACCATCTCCACTATTACCACCCAGCTCAGAGCCTCTATCCATCTCTTTGCCTGAATTAATATAATCATCTCCTAACAGACCTTCCTACTACAGCCTTGCTGGGCTCACAGGTCCCCCGCCACCCTCCTCCCACCATTTGCTTTTCATACAGTAGCTAGAATGATCCTTTTAAAATGCAAGTGAGATCATATCACCCTTCCACCAAAACCCCAATGATTTTCTTGCTCAGAGTAAAATCCCTTTCTCATGGTCTGGACTCTATAAGCTTGTACTATAAAACTGTTCATAAACAAATTCTGATATATGGCAACCTTATCCATTAGAATAAAGTTAAGAGCTAGATTTTAGTATGGTGGTTCAGGGGTATATATCAGAATCTTCCAAGATTTTTTAAAAAATATACATGCCAACAAAAGCAAAAATAAACATGTGGGGCAGCAAATGAAAGAGCTTCTACACAGCAAAGGAAACCACCAACAAAATAAAAATGCAAACAATAGAATGGAAGAAAATATTTGCAAATCATATATCTGATTAGGTTTTAATATACAAATATAGAAAAAATTCACACAGCTCAATAGCAAAACAAAAACCTCACAAAACAATCCAATTAAAAAATGGGCAGAGGAACTGAATAGACATTTTCCCCAAAAGACATACAAATGGCCAACAGGTACATGAAAGGGTGCTCAATATCACTAATCATTAGGGAAATGAAAATCAAAACCACACTGAGATGTCACCTCATACCTGTTAGAATGGCTGTAATAAAAAAGACAAGAGAAAACTGTGTTGGTAAGGATATAAAGAAAAGGGAACCACTGTGCACTGTTAGTATGTAAATTAGTGCAGACACTATTGAAAACAGTATGAAGAGTCCTCAAAAAATTAAAAACTTTTCTCCCATATGATTCAGCAGTCCCACTTCTGGGTATATACCCAAAGGAAATGAAAACAGGATCTTAAAACGATATCTGCACTCCCATGTTTATTGTAGCATTATGCACAATAGCCAAGATTTGGAGACAACCCAAGTCTCTGTCAACGGATAAATTGATAAAGATGTGGTGTGTATATACAATGCAATATTACATACAATGAAATATTATTCAGCCATGAGAAAGAAGGAAATCCTGCTTTTTTGAGACATGGATGGACCTTGAGGGACTTATGCTAAGTGAAATAAGCAAGACAGAGAAAGACACATACTGCATGGTGTCACTTAAATGTGGAATCTAAATAAAAGTCAAATTCACAGAAACAGAGTAGAAAAGTGGTTCTCAGCGGCTGGAGAGTGGAGGAAATAGGGAGAGGTTGGTAAAAAGGCATAAACTTTCGGCTAAAGATGAATAAGGTTTGAGGGCCTGGGATATAACATGGTGACTAGAGTTGATAACACTGTATTACATAATTGGAATATGCTAGAAGAGTAGAAGTTAAATGTTCTCATCAAAAAAAAAAAAAAGTAAAAAAAAAAAGTGAAGTGATGGATGTGTTAATTACCTAGATGGGAGAAATCTTTTCACAATGTAAAGCACACTTTTAAAAAGAGAAAAAAAGTCCTTTAAAAAAGAAAAGAAATATACATGGCAGACTTAATAAGAATATTTGGGGTTCAATCCTAGGCATGCATATGTGAACAATTCTCTAAGTGATTTTGCTGTAACTCCTAGATAAGAACTGCTGATTTTATAGAATGGAACTATTCTGTTATCAGGAGGCCTAGATTATATTCCTTGACTGCCACTAATTATCCCTGATATCTTTGAGCCTCAGTTTCTTTGTCTACAGAATGAAGGCGCTGTATTATGTGTGCTATGTGGCTTTGAAATAATAAAAAACAAGATAGCTCCGTAGTTAAAATAGATGTCATAAAATGCACTAAAACTCACATACTGTATTTAACAGAATGCTTCACTCTTCTTACTTATTCACAAGTTTTTTGCCCAAATCCTTTTGTCTAAGAGAAAGTTTAATAAGATACTCCATAGACAGCCAAACTGTCATTAAGAGAAGACAATTATCAGACTGACAACGAAGAGGACAGAAAAATCATAGCAGCAGGAACCATTTTGGATAATGGGAACTAATTCTGTAAACTGTGTTAAAAAGTATCACTATTTTGCTATATGGCAAAAATAATATGAGTTCTGTTTAAGAAACCAAGGAAACATATATTTTAGCAAGATTTCTAAGCAAAACCACTGAAACAACAATACAAGATGTTATAAGGAATCAGTTATCTGTTATTAAAAAGCTCAGTCACATTACTGAAGCTCTCTTGATCCTATCTCCCTTCCCTCCCAGACCCAAAACCAACCAGGGCAGTTTAGGTAATCCTATTTGCTGCCATAACATCCAGTATGCACCTAACATTTCTAAC